GAGATACAAACTTCTAAAAGTATGCTAGTTGGGACTAGGCACACAAACTAGAAGCAATAAGTGCCTACCTGGTACACACCAATTTGGGAGTTAAGATATTAGGTATGTGGGTAAAGTGGCAAATATGTAAATACTAATTGAAGTTGAAAAAATATGTATAAATCAAGGTTAATCACATATGTGGGAGTGTTGACAGCTCTGGTAGGTTTTAGCCATAGATAAATGGTCTTAAATCTAAAGTTCTAGTTCTATATATTTAGGCACTACTATATATCAACTTGCTTAAGTATTAATAAAAGTCGGAGGCAGGTGCTGCACTCTAATATTAAAAAAAAAATACACAAATAAACAAAAAACTAGAGATAAAAGCAATCTATATAACAACTTAAAAGACATATTAAAAAAAAATCAAAATGAATCTTTACCTCTAAATTAAACAGAAATTACAGAGAAGAAAGATATATTAGAGAATTTAGTAGTAGTAATAGAAGAGAGTATATTAGCAGAAATAGTATAAAAAGAGGCCAGAACCAACTTTGTAAAAATTGTCTACTTATTTTAATAAATACTATAGAAATATCACCTAATAAAGGTTCTTATCCAAATAAATCTAAAAAAGATTCAACCTCTATAAAAAATAAATTCATATTAGTTATATATAAAAAAAATAAAAAAAAAGAGAAAAAATAATTAAAAAAATATTAATAATATTAAAGTAAATCTATACAAATAAGGCTAAACAGTCTACAAATATTACTCTACAATAATCTTATGATTAACACACAAATAAAAATAGCTATACTAAATATTAAAAGCTTAAACAATAAACAAAAATAATTTAACAATTTTATACTTCTTAAATCTTATAAGCTAAATATAATTATGCCTCAGAAAACCAATTTATTTGACAGTTTAGATAACAAAAGTAGCTATTTTTGCAAAAAACTAAGAAATTAAAGTTGAAAACATATAAGAATCTTTAGAGATGTGAGTTTTAAGTGATACAGCTAACTTTAAACAACAAATCTTTTTAATTACAATGTATATACATCTCCTAACTTTGAAAATAGATATATAATTTTTAATAATTAGAAATTTAAATTAATTAATATTCTAGAAGAGGATTTTAATACTACTATTTTCAAAAAGCAACTCTTTTTAACAATCACCTGTACCAAAAAATCCAAATCCATTTTTTGTAAAAAACACAATAGCATTTAGTAAAACATGGAGAGCATACTAGCAGCTATAAGTTAGCAGTTGTTATTTAGAAATAGTTCTCATATACTACCTGCTAACTTCTTCAGAGTTTATCACTCATCGCAAGCACAGTACTTGTCATTTAGAAGTAGTTCTCATACGCTACTTGCCAACAAGCCCAGAGTTTATCACTCACCAAAAAGAAAGTATAGGTGCCTCATCTCTTTCCTAGAAGAAGGTTTAGGAGTTGTTGAGTCTTTACATAGATGTAACTACTTTTCTTGGGTGCAAGTGGTCTCTTCCTAGATGTTTTTTGCTCAGCTAATCTTCTCCAAAATTTTTGACAAAAAGTAAGTGATTTGATTTATCCCTCCAAAAGATTGGCATTGTTTACCTTCCAAATTCAGATGTACCCAGGAATGCAACCATGTGCCTTGTTTATCAGTGGATACGATACACAATATAAATTATAAATACGGGTCCTCTACGTGACTAGAATCAGGTCTCTGGCATAAGAGCCATCTGGAGATGGCCAGTAGTTAGATAAAATTTGTTAGGTTTTATAGTCAAGATATACAAACATTGCAGTTGTTATAAAATTTTTTCTTAAACATGACACAGGTTATAATAGTATACTTTTCTTTTTTCTTCCGTTCTATTTATACAATTTCTTGATAGAGGTAGTTCTCTCTTTGTTGACCCTTAGGCTTTTCTCTTTGTTTTTTTTTTTTACATTTCATTGTACCCCTTTATTGTTTCCTTTAAAAATTTCTCTTCATTCTATTTGTTTTTTTTAGTTAGTTTTTCATTTTGTCTTCTTGGTACTATTGGTAGTTTTGTATTCAATATAAGATCATCACTTTCTTTTGCTCTCGATAAAGAAAGAGAATATGAAGGCAAATGCTTTGACAGGCTGACAAACTTTATCTAACTTGTATACAGGTTGGTGTGACAAGTCACATGTGAGCATATTTATTGCAGCTGGGTGATGTCAGGCTCGCAATTACGAGACTTCCTATTATAGTTATGTATGATATTGTATTGTTCGAAAGAGTTTTACTCTCATCTAAAATATAGTCTTAATAAATTGAGCACTGGCAAGACTGTCAAAGAATTAAAAAAAAAATACTACAACTAGAGAACTTTTAAAAGAATACTTTAGAGAATTTATAGATATTGCTGATTTAATTAAAAAAAAGCTATTCTTAATATGCTTTCAGAAGATTCAAGAAAATTATACAATAGTTACTAAACTAGATTAGATTCTTATAAATAACTAAAATATTCAATTCTATCAACAAATAGTAACACAGTTTGGTAACTCAGATTATTTATTAATAAAAGCTATATTAAACTTTACACAGTACAAAGATACACAATTAACTTACTAGTGATTTAACTTACTGGTGATTTAACAAAAATTGTTTTAGAAATAACAGAATTAAAAAAGAAGTAGCAAATAAATTTATAAAGAATAAAGATAATGAGAATTAAGACTTTTAAAAGATTATTATATAATTAACTATAAGAGTATATAAACAGGATCCATATCACTTTATAAAAATTTATTTTACAGATATCTTGTTTCACAAATAATTAATTTATAAACCAGTTTATTTTAAAGACAATTAATTTACAGACAATTCATTTCATAGACAGTTTATTTTATAGACATTTTATTTTGTAAACAAATTTTAACACTGATTTTAGAAGTTATTTACTGTTAAAATTGTCTACAAAATAAAATATCTATAAAATGAACTGACTATGAAATGAACTGTCTGTAAATTAATTGTCTTTAAAATAAACTTGTCTATAAAGTGATTGTTTGTAAAACAAGGTGTCTGTGAAATAAACTTCTATGAAGTAATACAAACCCTATAAACAGAACCCTAGACATCTCTGATATAGGTTTTTTTTTTAGCAAATTGTAAAAAATTTGGTTAGAGATTCAAATTTAAATTTTAGCAAATTAATATTAATTTTAAAATAAGTTATAAATAGTGATTTTGTTGAATTACAACAATTTTATATAGGGATTATATATTAGCTTATAATAAGCTAGCTTAGCCATGGCTTTTAAGCTAAGCTGTCAAACTGGCTCAAGCCAACTCAGAGCCAATATAATAAAATTGAATTTATCACATAATAAATTCAATTTTATTATATTAATTCAAATTTGTCATGTAATAAATTCAATTTTATTATATTAATTCAACTTTATCACATAATAAATTCGAATTTGTTATATATCACATGAGCTAGCTCAAGCCAGCTAACTCAGCTTCATGAGCCAAGCTGAACTAGCTCAAGCTAATATCATTTCTAATTTTATATATATTTTAACAATTTATCTGTATTTTGCAAAAATTATATTTAAAAATAAGCTACTTTAATTTTTTTAAACTACAAAAATTTTTCAAAATTTAAAAAAAGAAGTATAATTTTGAATTTTTAATTAAAAAATCCAAAATTAAACAACTTCTTTTAAATTTTTAATAAATATAAAATTAAATATGCTGTAATTAAAATATTTGATTAATAGATAAGTTAGATTTTTGGTAGAAAACATTCAAGATAAAGAGATATTTTATTTAGTTAGTTGTAAGGACATGACTATGGATTATATCTCTACAAAAAAACATTTTTAATCCTTTTTATAATTATAATTTTCTATTATTTTGAAACTATTTACTGGCTTAGTTATATATAATGATTTATATATAATAATTATATATATACAAACTATGCATAATGATTTATATATCACAACAAAAAAAATAGCAAAACAATATAAATAATTTTATAATAATAACTAAATAAAAGAAATATATATATAAATTTATACTAAAAAATAAACTATAGCACAAAGGGTTTAATAATCATATATAGTCTATCATAATCATATGACTGTAGTGTATTGTATACAAAAATATCACTCTGTTGTACTTCTCTCTTTCAAAATGCAAAATCCTCCAAGTATAATTAACTAATAATTATAAAATTCTAAACTAAACTTCTACATTGGGAGAATTAAATAAAGCAAATCTGCAAAAACTTGCAAAAATACAGATTTTTGCAGATTTTTTTGCAAAAAACTGCAAAATTTTTCATATATTAAAATTTTGCGCAGAACTGTATTTAATTTCTGTAGCTATAGCTGGTGAGTCTGAAGTTTTGCACAGGTTTTCATTTAATTTATTATTTAATTTTTTTGCAAATTTGCACAAAACAGCACTAAAAAATTTCTCCCAATGTATATATAAAAAAATAAACTAATTCTATTTATAGGTTTTAGATTCTTTGATGTATTTATAACTAGAACTCTATTTCAATTTATAAGTTTTATGACTTTTGGTTTATATATAAGCAAAACTTATAATTAATATTTTATCTTTAACTAACCTATAGCCAAAACTTTATCCTTAACTAACTTATAACCAAAATTTTAGTTTCAGATAACTTGTAGCCAAAACCCTATCCTTGGTTAACCTATAGCCAAAATCTCATCCTTGGCTAACCTATAGTCAAAACTTCATCTTTAGCTAACCTATAGCCAAAATTCTATCTTTGGCTAACCTATAGCCAAAACTTTATTCTTAGCTAACCTATAGCCAAAATTTTATTCTCAAAATTACTCTTGGCTAACTATAGCCAAAACTTCATTTTTGCATAAGTCTTATTTTTTGCCAGACCAGGTTCAATACCTTAAAAAATATATATTTAAAAAAACAACTTGTTTAAAAACTAAAAAATAAAAAAATAAAAACAAAGTCTAAACTAAGAATTATCAAATTCTTTCAGAGCTTCAGAGAATTATGTTAACTTATTCTTTCGTCTTAATTTCACCAACATCAGTATTGTTTACTAGAACATTCTAGTGGGAATTACTGAAACTAGAAGATCACTGGACTTAACTAGATAGAATTGGAAGCATAATAGCTTCTAGTGATCAAATATCACTAGACCATTCCAGTGAGGATTTTTATCACTGGAATAGAAGTTCTAATAATATCTAGTGACTTCCAGTAGATCCTGATTGGCCAATTCGTGCAATAATATTAGACTTAATTAACAAATTAAAAAATTATTGTGAAATCAGATATGAGAATCCTTTTTTTTATAGTGTTTTTGGTATTCAAGATATATTGATTATACTATTGTAATGAGATACAAACAAAGAAGGATCATTATTATAGAGCCTTGAATTAGTATCAAAAAACAAGTTGGAAAGTAAACTGAATATTTGCATTGAATAGTTGGAAGCTAATTAGCTGCCAACTAATTTGATTGGCCAATAGCCCTATTTAGATTAGCCAATTATATGATTATGTTCTAGTAAGAAAATTGTTCTAGTGGAATTTCTTACTGAAACCACTAGAATGTTAGAAGAATTTAGATATCCAGTGGGGTTTCAGTCTTCCAGTGACAACACTGACCCACATAATTGTCAAATTATCATTTATTTAATAATCTACTATTTACTAACTCTTTATCGACTTTTTTTTATTCCACTATTCTTTTAGTGCCAAATATAGATTTAGATTTCTAAGATAAGAACTCTTATAGCACTTTTTTTAGTAAATAAAATCTTTTTTATTACTACTAGCATATGATATATTACTTTCAGCATTGAATTTATTATAAGAGTACCATCCAAGTATATTGATAAAAGTCTTTTCAGTAGTGCTTCATCAGAAGTTTTAAGATTCAGATAAGCTAAGAAAATAAATCTAAGTATATTCTTTTAAAGTTCTTGTTCTTTTTTTTTTATTTCTATACCTATTTTTCTTCTTATCTTTTCTTTCATAATTTATTTATTTTTAACTTTAATCTCTTCTTATATTAATATTTAGAAGTATATATTTGTATTAGCATAAATCTCTGCTATTTTTTTATGCTTTTACTTTATTATATTTGCAACTTGTTATCAAGACTTTTAGGTTTAACTTTGATTTGTTATTTTTTACTTGAGCTTTACTGCTAGAATTAGTTTGTTTAGTTTTTTTTTTATCACCTCTTCTCTTTTTCTATCTTCTTCTTTTTTTTTTATTATTTTAATATTTATTATTATTTCTTTTCTTATAACATCAGGAGTACTTAATCCTATAACTATTTGATTAGCTATTATTGTAGCATTCTCAAAGAAGAAAAGAATACCTATGATTGCATTTGTAGTTAATGAGATATAATTGCTAAATAGGGCCCTACAGAATTTGGTGATGATATATATTCAATAAGTAATTATTCCCAAATTTAATTTCTCTTTGGTGAGAAAGGCTAACTAGAGTTCCGAGATTTGAGTTTGGTTTGATTTAGTTTGATCAAACTTCAAATCAAACCAAACTCAAACTCTAAATTTTTACTAATTTCAAACTCAAATCAAACTCAACCTTACTATTTTAAACTCAAACCAAACCAAATCTTAATTATAAGTTTGATTTGAGTTTGAATTATATAGTGTTTCTATAAACCTGAACTAAACTGAACTTCAGTTTAGTTATGTTTAATATTGAACTTTTAAGTGAAAACTTAGTAAATTTTTTGAATTTGGAGTTTTTTAATTAAACCTTTTCTCTTTACTAAGAAACTTTTTTAAACTTCTAATAAATGTTATAGAAGAGTATCTTGTGATTAAAATGGCAGTTAAAATATTAAAATTGGCTTAGTAGATCATGAAATATAAGTATTTTTGTTATCACAATTATATGTTTTCTTCTTTATATACAATAAAGAAAAAGTATATAGTCGTGAAACTAAAATATTTATATTTTATGATTTACTAGACCAATTTTAGCTATTTTAATCGCATGACACACCTCTACAACTTTGCATAGAAGCTAAAAAGAGAGTTATTAAGCAATATTTAAAAATTACAATATTTTATATAATTTTATTAATAAAATTATAAAAAATATTACAATTCACAAAATTGTATTAATTAAAGTTCTAAGTAAACTTGTTCTACATATAAAATTACATTATACCAAATACATTTACTTTATAATTTTAAAGTTTAAGAGAAAAGATGCTTAATTTTGAATTTTTGATCAAAAATTCTAAAATCAAGCATCTTTTCCTTAACTTTAAAATTATAAAGTAAATATATACCATTATAATATAATTATATATATATAACTAGTGTAATGGGTGGTGCTTTGCGCCACCTATCTTATTTGTTAATCAAATTACTGTTAAAGATTCTTTACAGAATTTATTATTTATTACAATATGTATGATATATAATTAAATTTTAATAAGTTTTATCAGAATTGTTTATTAATGTGGTTCTAGTTGAGTTAGTATTAAATTGTCAATTTTTACCATAATTCAAAGTAAAAATTTCTATTATAAAACTTGCTATTCAGTGATTACAGTATGTGGTCATAGTCAAGTTTATTGTATTAGAATTATCATTACAGTTAATTACATATTCTCTTGAAATATAATTGTTAAGGTGAATAGAATTTAACTTTATACTCATCTTGGTAATTTATTGAACAATTAAATAATTATAGTTAATCGATATCTTGTAATGCAATCATTAAAGCGAATCAAATTTTCTCAATACTCAACCTAGTAATTTATTTGAACATTTAAATAATTACAGTTAATCACATGTTCTCTTGAAGCACAATTGTTAAAGCAAATCTAATTTAATTTCGTACTCACCTTAGTAATTCAATGAATGATTGAATGATTATAATTAATCACATGTTCTCTTGAAACACAGTCATTAAGGTGAATTGAGTTAAATTTTATACTCACTTTGGTAATTTATTGAATGATTGAATAATTATGGTTAATCAATATTATGAAACACAATCTTTAAACTGAACCAAATTAAACTTTGTACTCACTCTGGTAATTTATTTAAACTATTAAATAATTACGGTTGATTTTATATTCTCTTGAAATATAGTCATTAAAGTAAATTGAATTAAACTTCATTTTCACCCTGGTAATTTATTTGAACGATTGAATAATTATGGTTAGTGATCCAAATCGTTAGTTGAAAAATCAACTAGTTGACAACTTTTTAACTAAGGGCAGTATCATTTATCATCTGATTTTTTTTTATTAGAGGCTTACCCCCCCCTAGTTTTTAATATATAAATTATTAGGTCTTATATATAAAATTTCAATTTTTTTAACCCTCTAGAAAATCACTTGATAATTGTTAGCTCCCTAATCGATTAAAAAAATTTAAAACAACTAATCGATTAAATCTTCAACTAGTTCTATTCTGAAATATTCCATCTGTTTGGGCTAATCTGTGTTGATTTCTTTAATCTAATTGGCTAATCAACAAATTTAATTATATGGTATGAAAATCGATTAGTTGCTAACTATAGTTGGCAACTAATCGATTAGCAAATTTTTACCAACTCGAAACACTAATTATGGTTAATCACATGTTCTCTTGAAACACAATTGTTAAAGTAAATCGAATTAATCTTTGTACTCATCCTGGTAATTTATTTAAACAATTAAATGATTACGGTTAATCACACATTCTCTTGAAATACAATTATTAAAAAACTAAATTAAACTTCATGTTTACCTTGGTAATTTATTGAATAATTTAATAATTATGGTTCATTACTATCATGAAACACAATTATTAAAGCAAATTTAGTTAAGCTTTATACTTACACTAATAATTTATTTCAACAATTAAATGATTAAGGTTAATTACACATTCTCTTAAAACACAATTGTTAAAGAGAATCAAATTAAATCTATTCTCACCCTAGTTATTTATTTAAATGATTGATTAATCAATGTTTTAAAACACAATTGTTAAAGCGAATCAATTAAACTTTGTACTCACCCAAGTAATTTATTTAAACAATTGAATAATTACAGTTAATTAATGTTTTAAAATAACAATCGTTAAAGTAAATCGAACTAAACTTTGTTTTTATCCTGGTAATTTATTTGAATGATTGAATGATTGTGATTAATCTATTTCTTGAAACACAATCGTTAAAGCGAATCGAATTAAAGTTTATACTTGCCCTGGTAATTTATTTGAATGATTAAATGATTATGGTTAATTACACATTCTCTTGAAATATAACCATTAAAGCGAATCAAAATAAATTTCATACTCACTCTGGGTAATTTATTTGAACTATTGAATAATTATGGTTAATCAATATCTTAAAGCACAATTGTTAAAGTGAATCAAATTTAACTTCATGCCTACCATGGTAATTTATTTAAATGATTAAATGATTACAGTTAATTATATTTTCTCTTAAAACACAATTATTAAGGTGAATCGTATTAAACTTTGTACTTACTCTGGTAATTTATTGAATAATTAAAATAATTATAGTTAATCACACGTTCTCTTGAAACACAGTCAGTAAGGCAAATAGAATTAAACTTTGTACTCATCTTGGTAATTTATTGAATGATTGAATGTTTATAGTTATCAATATTATAAAATACAATTGTTAAAGTGAATCAAATTAAACTTTGTACTCACTCTAGTAATTTATTTCAATGATTAAATAATTACTATTAATCATATATTTTCTTGAAATATAGTCGTTAAAGTGAATCGAATTAAACTTCATTCTCACCCTAGTAATTATTTGAACGATTAAATAGTTATGTATTCTCTTGAAATACAATTGTTAAGCAAATTGAATTAATCTTTGTACTCACTCTAGTAATTTATTTGAATTTAATGATTATGATTAATCATATATTCTCTTGAAGCACAATCATTGAAAAATCAAATTAAACTTCATATTCACCTTGGCAATTTATTGAATAATTACAGTTAATCACACATTCTCTTAAAATGCAATCATTAAAGAATTGAATTAAACTTCATATTCACCTTGGTAATTTATTGAATGATTAAGTGATTACAGTTAATTAATATCATAAAACACAATCATTAAAGTGAATTTAATTAGCTTTATACTTACCCTAATAATTTATTTGAATGATTAAATGATTACAGTTAATTACACATTTTCTTGAAACACGATTGTTAAAGAGAATCAAATCAAAACTCATTTTCACCCTGGTTATTTGTTTGAATGATTAATTTATTAATGTTTTGAAGCACATTTATTAAAGCGAATCAATTAAACTTTGTATTTACTCTGGTAATTTATTTGAACAATTAAATAATTATGGTTAATTAATAGTTTGAAATATAATCATTAAAGTGAATTGAACTAAACTTTGGTTTTACTCTGGTAATTTATTTGAATGATTGAATGATTGCAATTAATCTATTTTTTGAAACACAATTGTTAAAGTGAATTAATTAAATTTTGTACTCACTCTGGTACATTATTCAAACAACTAAATAATTACAGTTAGTTAATATCTTGAAACATATTCATTATAGCGAACTAAATTAAACTTATACTCACCCTGGTAATTTATTTGAATAATTGAATGGTTATAGTCAATCAATGTCTTGAAGTACAATCATTAAAGCAAATTGAATTAAACTTTATACTCATCCTGGTAATTTTTTTGAATGATTGAATAATTATGGTCTTGAAACATATTTGTTAAAGCGAATCAAATTAAACTTATACTCACCCTGATAATTTATTTAAACAATTAAATAATTACGATTAATCACATATTTTCTTGAAGCACAATCGTTAAAGTGAATTAAATTAAACTTCATACTCACCTTGGTAATTTTTTGAACAATTGAATAATTATAGTTAATCAATATCTTGATACACATTTGTCATACTCACCTTGGTAATTTATTTGAATAATTAAATAATTATAGTTAATTGTATATTCATTAAAATAAAAGAA